TTCAATAGAGAAAGAAACCACATCCGTATAATTAAATTAAATAGTCAGGAATAAACAAAACACTTTAACTTTAAGAGTTTAAGAAAACTTATTTAAATTGAAAAATAAAAATACCTCAATTTTGATTTAAAAATTTTAAATCGATTATTTTTGATAAGACGTATCCAAATCAACAGATTAAATATCAATCACCATGTAATAAATGTTATATCATTTCAACAGTAAGAGATAACATAACACTTGAACACGATTTGAATATCAACAACTTAAATCCGCATATAAAGACCTTATAACCAAGCCACGGTAAATTTAGTCTTATACTCAATATAACTACTAAACACACTCATCGCAGTAACCAAGAAAAGCACAAATAATAATAACAAAATTAATATAATGCGACATACTAATACTAAACATAATAGTTTACTGACAAATAAAACTCAAGTCCGATGTCTCAATTTATTCCACAAAGGTGTGTCGTTATTATTACGCAATTAATACAAATCATGTCACTGTATAATCATAATAATTATTACACTCCACCAGCTATTTTCTTCAATGACACTTTACAGTTCATTAATAACGATAATTATTACTTATTACTTATTACATACATATTAGTTAGTAGTGGCACTTTTCCGGGTAATTTTATTCACAAGCTTACATGCATCGCTTATCAACAGAGCGTTATTACTTTGACATGACTGACTACTATGTACTATTATATTGTAACAAGTACGAGATTGTACGCACAAAAGAAGGCGCTTATTATTGTAACTCGGTAATGACGATGATGATCCGAGATACGAGATGTCTCGTGGTCGCTATGAGAATGAGAGCACGTGCCACGATGAATACTGTCTAGTTATTTATATTATTTATTTTATAAATACACTCAAGAAGTCATTTTTGAGGGTGTTATTTACTTTAAGGTCAATAAACACGTTAATTGGTCTTATGTAATTTTTGGTTTTAGTGATATAATGTTTAATTATTGGAATTACTGTTCAAATTTTTTGGGCCATACTTTGTACGTCATTTTAGTGTGAAGTTTGTAAGCATCATAATTACTGTAAAAATTATAAGGAATTTTAGCAAATTTAGAAGAAGATTGAAAATCAAAATTTTGAGTTTAGTTATCAATTTTTTTTTTTTTCAAGTATTTTCATGAAGTTATTATTTATAAAATCTAAAAATTTAACTTCTTAGTTGAATAAAGAAAATGCAAAAAACTGGAATGACTTTTAATAAACACTCAAATTTTTTAAATATAAGTCCTTATCAATTTTCTTATAATTTTTTCTCTTAAATAATTTTAGATTAATGTCGAAATTAGAGCCAATTAATAATTGTCAATCATAAACACATTCAGAACAGATTGAAATGAAAAATAAAAGTACTTGTTGAGTGTGTTTTTAATTTAAGGTCATTGAAAAATATTAATTGGCCTTATGTAATTTGATATTTAATTTAATTACTGTTCAAATTTTTGGAGTAAAACCTTATTTATAGAATTTGAAAAAAAAAAAAAATTATTAAAAATAAAATATTTCAACTTTGAGTTAGTTTTGAAATTTTTCATTAAATATTGAAATTTTATTTCCGAGTATATTTTTAAGCCTTTTAGAAAACAATGTTCTAAAAAAATCCTTATCAATTTTACTGTATCTTTTATTAATTAAAAAATTTTGAATAAAAATACAAATTGAACCATTGACAATTTTCAAAAATGAAAAATGTAAAGAGCAGGTGTTACGATGAACAAAAATTTTAGTTATTTATTTTATAAATACACTAAGTTAGAAGGTAATTTTTTGAGGGTTACTAGTCACTAAAATAATTGTGCAAAATTTAGACACTATTTTAACGTATTTTTAATTAAAAATTTAAACTATTTCACTTTTAAAAGTAATTATCCCAAAATCGAAGCACTTATATACAGTAACTTTTTGCACCCTTGATGAAAAAAAATTTTCACGGTACACAAAAACCACACATTCTTCTATTCGGAAAAGAGAAAGATTAAATAAATACTTGATATTCTTGTTCAGCGGGTAACGTTTTGATCTACAGATCTGTATACTGCATACTGTATACTACACCGAGAGATCTCGTATCTTTGGCTATTGACCAACAATAATATGAATCATCGGTTGACAAAAAATATAGCACAATAAAAATGATACGTACTCTTTAAAACAGTTGTTTCATTATCCATTATTCTACATTTACTTGTCATGAGCGTGTCTTTTAAAGTGAATTGATTGTGAGCCAAAAGCTCGGAGATTCATGTACTCTTTGTCGTATAAGTAAGTAAGTTAGTAAGCGTATTGTGAAATACTAAAATAGAAAGAGTCATTGGTTGGATTATTTTATTTATTTTCTGCATTACTCACGCGGCAAAGATAAACTGTCATTTTAACATTGAAATTCGTTAAGCTCGTTGAATAACCGGAAAAAATTTATTGTCTTAAAATTTTAAATAATTCGTATGAATAGAGCATTAATTAGTTCGGGGTATGAATAATCAAAGAAAGCAATTAATTGACATCTGACGTAACAAATGTAGTTAATATAAGGAATTCTCGGCACTTGTCAAGTTTTGCCATTCGTCGACGTAAGATGTCTAAAATCATGACCTCAATGTATGTAATAAATATAATAATGTGTTGAGAGTTCAGTAAATGTGAGGTGGCTTCGTAGAGTCACGAAGCCCCATCAAAGAGTGCACAATTAATTCGTTATTACCGAGTAGCTACGGGCAGGGTAATACAGAGAGAAGTCTTGTGAGTCATTCGTCCACAATACTTGTCTAATATAAGTACATAGATCCAAAGTGTGTAATTATACGTGGATAATTTAACTGGCGCTCCCGAGTCTGACAGCATTCGCTGCATACCTTGCTCGTGCATTCTTCAAACTCTATGCTAGTTTAATAAACTATAATAAACCACTTTGTTAAAGTTACGATACGACAATGTATATTATTATTGCTTATTGTTGATGTAGTTCTTCTGGTAATTAAAATTACTGTACTATTATTAATTCCAATGTTCAGACGTCAAAATGTCACTGGGAACATTTGCCGTTGATAGATATATGTAGTTGTATTTTAAGATGTATAACATTCCGACAAGCCAAAATCAACAGTCTAAGAGGCTAAGATATATATCACACACATCAGGAGATATAGATTACATCTGTCGGGTGAATGTTATTGTTATAGTTACAATATTCAAACGTGACATAAAAAATTTTTGAAACAGAAATTTCTATCGAGCAATATTGAATTGATTAAAACAAAAATAATTATTACGGAAAAATATGAGCCAAATTAATAGATGCTCGATAATTTTTAAATTTTTGAAATAGTTAAATTATGATGATTAAAATTCAGTAAAAAATTTTACATGTTGAATTTTAGAAAGCTACAAGTGCAAATTTTTTCAAATATTTTTTTGTCGTAATTAATTTGGTAAAAAAAAAAAATAAAGTTTGAGTGGAAAATTTCTCTGAACTATTTGAAAAATCACAAGTGAAAATTATTACAGCAAAATAATTATCCAATAATTTAATTTTTAACCGTTGTGGAAAAAAAAAAACAATAATTTACGTAGAAAATTTGTTCAATGTTATTACTAAGAATTTTATCATAATTGCGATCAATTACACGAAAACTAGCGCTTATTTTATTGCACAGAAACACAAACATATGCCAATAAAAAGCATTTTATTAAAAGTAATAAAATTTAAAAATTAAAAAAATATTTTTTGAGCCTCGAGTGTATGTAAAGTAACAGCAAAGGCTATAATAATAAAAAATTTAATAGCAATAAATGGTGTTTGCTATTGAAAAATTACAGCGTTTATTTTAATACGATAGTCATTTATAGCAGGGATTTCAATGAAAAAATAAAACTGAGGAGACGAGTTAAAGTATTTATCGGTAAATTAATTGTAAAATATTTGTATATATACATATATATATATATATACCTCCATGTATGAGGCGAAAATCCGGAACATGTTTCGCCGCATTGCAAACACGGCTGGCCATCCTCAAGGTCCGTGATTTGAACGTTCTGTAACATAAAAATTATATAAATAAATATTATTATTTTTTTGAGCCTCTTATTTTATTATTTTGAAGCCCGAATAGCTTGTGTATATTTGTTACTTTATAACGTGTAATTATAATATTAATCACGGTGGTAAAAAAAGGATGGCTGCAACGAGTGAGAGGTCTAGATACCGGGAATGAAAGAGAAAGACTCTCGAGTAGAGACTTTAGTAACAAAACAAATATGGTAAGAACGCCTACATGAACTACCTCTGTACCCACGTCAGTTCTGGCATCACCAAATATCGACTAGACACATAATATGCTCCTCACTTATGTGTCCATACTCATAAATATACTTACCGTACACTAAATTCAGGATAAACAAAATTATTGTTATTATTATTACAATAGTAAGAATATTAATTCAGTTAAAGAAATTTATAATTTATTATTTACAAAAATTTTTAAATTAAAAATAATAATAATAATTTTTAGTAATTCGGTACTTTTTTTTTACTTCCATATGGAGATAAAAACATGTTATTCCACCCGAGTTTTAATTACTACGTTTCGTAACATATTAATTGATGAAAAACTAACATAATATAAGCAAGCAAGTTTTGATCTTTACTGACAGTAAAATAAATATAAAATACTGCATGATATTCACGGAAATCGTAAAAGAACGTGAATGATTTTGTAGGCGAGTAATTTTTACTCATATTATTTACGTGTATATATAACATGTAAGTAATAATATAACCAAGTATAAGTATAAGTGGGCACTCTAATTGCCCAAGAATATAGTAGTAAAATTATTCAGATATACACCGATATAAATTAATGTACATCGAATTCATTGATCCATGTCTAATATGACTAAATAAATAAACAAGCTAATTAATGTAATTTCATTTAATTTTATACTGATACTTATTTATATAAATAACCAAAAATATCGTACCGAGTCACGAAAATTCCGTGTAAGTGAGTCAGTTGATAGTTTTCTCAAGCCAAAAAAATCGGTACCGGCATCCAAATGGTCGTAATCATCATCGTCCTCTCGCACAAGCTCGTCACCATCTCTAAATGTATACCTATCTGGTGAAATATTCCTGGTGCGTCTGCCCAGATATCGTCTGTCAGTAATTCTCTCGGGACTTTTTCGTCTCTCGGGTGTCTTTGGATTGGTGTGAATTCTAATAACTGTGGCACCGTTGCGTTCAATCCGCGTGGAAAAACCCAAATCGCTGTCGTCATCCTCGTCATCATCATCCTCATCCTCATCCCCATCTCGGTCCTCGTCGTTGTCGTCATCCTCATCTGACAGCAGGCAACGCGTTCTCGGAGGCTTGCTAGACTTGTTTTTAGTCTTCTCACGTTCCGGCGACTCCTCGCTGGAATACCACGAGGACAATTCTCTCTCAATCCATGACAAATCACGTGAGTCGCGGTGGTGATGATGCTGGTAGTTGTGGTTATTCATTTTTTTAACCTCCTCTCTTTTGCCACCATAATCCTCTCTAAGCCTTAACTGCTGTTGCTGATGATTTTGATAATTTTGATGATTCTGATGATGAAAATCCTTCGAAGACGAAAATACTTTACGGTGCTGTCTTGGTACCACCTCGTCAGCCTCGATATTTTCAAACGTGGGCGGAGAGAGAGGTCTAGAGTGTCGATTGTCTCTTCTCGGCTTACTCTTAATAGACTCTGACTCACTAGAATTATTTTTAACGTCTTTCTCCTTTTCCTCTTTGTCTTTACCTTTCAATTTTAATGAAATTTTACGAAATATCTGTCTGTCTCTCGAAGAATCGCGCTTGTTGTTACCGATAGAAGAGTCCCTGTTTATATTCATTTTAAAGCAACTTTTATCCTCCAAGCTTCGGTGCCCCGAATAGTTCCTTCTCCTCTCCTCGTGCTCACTGGAAGACCCTCTGGCGCTTCTGACTAGATTAAAACCTTTTTTGTGTTCCCTAATCTTATCGTACTTCCCAGCAGACGGATCAAAATCTTTACGATTGGTTTTAGTTTTATCACTCGCGGTCTTTTTTCCCGGAACATAACTATCACAACGGTTTCCGTTCCGCCTACTCCCATTGACAAAACCCGGACAGTTTGAATTTGAATTTAAATTTTCTCCGACCGCCTTGATGAGCTCAATCGCGCGGTCTGGCGACTGCTCCTCGCAATTTCTCCAAAATCTCTTATCCAAATAAATAAATTCACGTTTGCAGCCTTTACTCACAGAATCATCTAACGGTGATAACGATCTACCATATATAAAATCACCATTTATTTTCCTGGATGACGATGACGAGGATGAATAACGCGTTTGCTTATAACACTCCTCATCATCTTCATCATCTTCTTCCTCATCCTGATCCACATCGACATCCTCGTCTTCCTCTCCATCTTCTTCTTCTTCTTCTTCTTCTTCTTCTTCTTCTTCTTCTTCTTCTTCTCCACCAATCCGCGGCTTATCGTATCGACACTCGTATTCTTCGAATTTCCTGACAAATTTAATGGGCTCGCTGATTCCGTTACTCGGCGTTTCCACATCGTAAAAAAAATTCCTCGTGTCCTCCTGGTGGTAAGTTTGCTGATACTTAGCACCTCTGCGTTCACGATCCAACGATTCGTCAGATCGTTTGACCTGTTTTGTGAAACCGTTGTTTGACGATCGTAACTTCCCGTTTGTAAGTTTCGGTTCACCGGATTTATTGTCACTATTATTGCCGACTATTGAAGGTGATCCTTTAGACTTCCGCCGCCTATAATTAATTGGCTGTTGTTGGTTCCCAATTCCATGCTGCTGTTGCTGATGCAAAATTTTTTCCTGATCGTGATATCTGTTTCTGTGTGGCTCCCAAATATTTTTACTGTTCACATTATCTCTGCGCCTTGATAAATGCTGTTGCTGTTTATGCAAACTGTCATCCTTATTCTTTGCACATACTTCCTTGTACCCGTTGCGTAATTTATCATTGTTGTTGTCGGTTATCAATTGAAACCGGTCAACACGCGAGGATAAACTGTACTGGTGGATCTTATTGCGATTATCATTGCTCTGACTGGAGTCACGTAAGCTCTCCTTCTGATCACGATCTTTTATAATAATTGGCGACTTTACTTTCGGCTCTTCTTTCGTCCATGTGTTCCAAAATCGTGACTTCATTATTATTTTAAATTATATTTTTTATTCACTAATAATTATAATAATAATTCTTAATAAATAACAAATCACTAAAACTTATTTTAACAATAAACCACAATAGCGATCGAATATAAAATCGCGTTGCTGCTGAACGCGTGACAAATACTGTCGACACTCTCGATTGTACCCGGAGGATGGCTTTGCGATTGAATCCCACGCGAGCCTGACTTCCAGACCGAGTGAAAAAATTTTAAAACTGAGTCAATAACAAAACCGAGTTATTTAAACAATACTTACTCGGTACTAAATACAAATATATATAATAAAATAAAATAATGTTTATTGAAAACGGTGGGTATTAAATAATCCCGGTGTATACTATTGTAACTCAGTCTCTCTTGTCTGTATAATTATTGTTATTGTTGTTGTTGTTTGTACCGGCGCGATGCGATCGTTTGTGGTCAAAGCCGAATCACCGAATCCGGCAATCGAGCAGGATACCGTGCTCGCCTGGATATGAATGTATGTAAGCAATGTAATGTTGGAGTCCGCACATACATGGGAGACCACTACCACCGAGTGAAATGGTGTATGGTGTGCGGTGTGTGGTGGATCTGAGAGAAACACAAGATTTTCGAGGTAAGATTAATAAAGGGAAAGAGCGAGAAAGGAAGAAAAAGAGCGGCGAAGAGTGAAACGAGGCGGGCCAGAGAGCGACCCTGAAAGTCGCCGGTGACTTTCACGTACGCGTGCACTTTGCCGTGTTGCTCGCCTTCTTGTGTCCGCCGCAGCTCTTGGATCTTGCTCTTGCTCTTGCTCTTGCTCTTGCTCTTGCTCTTGCTCTTGGAACTTCGAGTTGGGTCTCAGGTCTTGGATCTCGGATCTTGGGTTTAGCTTTAGCTTCAGCTCTTGCTTCTTAGTCCTGGTTCTCCACATGTAGTCTTCCCTTTTTGTTGTCACTAAAATGAATTCACCGTCTTCAACATTTTTCTCTCACTCCATATACATCCACATCCACATTATCTCTCTCTCTCTCTCTCTCTCTCTCTGTTCTTTCTACTCCTATTCTTCGAAACTGCACTCTCGATTTTACCAAAAAATCCTTTTATTATTATTATTATTATTATTATTTTTCACTGTCACCGTTCACCGTTTAACCGTCCAATAGGAGTAAGTATATTTTTTTTTTCATGCTTTGTCTGGTGGGTGAAATGACGCAAGGACCCAAAAAAGTATCATTCATCTCAGCCGAGCCTTTCGAGCCACTTGGGATGTGTAAATCCACCAGCAGTACTCAGCACTGTGAATCACCACGTAAGATTACGTCCGACGAAAAGGAATAATAAATAATATTATAAATATGTCGGTGTTGGTGTTGGTGTCGATGTCAGTGTTGATACTAAAATTCCATACCAGTCAAGAGTTAAATATTAATAATATAAATATAAATAAGGAGGAAGGACTTAACAGATGATACAGGTTGTGTTTGGTGAGGACGTAGGTCGAGTGAGTGCGACGAACTGATCGACGCAGAAGACGATGTCGACAGATCCAGCCGGTCCGTCCGGTTGAGGACACGCGGGAGAGCAAGCAGGTGACGCCCTGCCCTGCCTCCCTGGCTTACCTGCACCTGAGATTCTCTGGTATCTCCGGATAGTGCATAGTCGATTCAGGATAGAGAATACCTTTCAGGTGGAGGGGCACAGGGAGCTAATAAGACGGTTGTGTCAGATGCAGCTAGAGCTGAGATAACACCCAACAGGAGTTGAGTGGAGTCGAGATAAAAAAAATAACAGTACAGTCAACTTGTATCAACTCAACAGAGTCATCGACATCCAGACTGTCCTTTTCTAATCCTATCTAATCTTAATTTTTCCAAGCAGCAAAAAATTCGTTTTTTTTTTTACGCGCTCGTAAATGTTGCTTTTTTGCAGAGTCCCGAGTTTAACTGTTTCACGCACCAACGATCATCGCAATTAAGTTCCGTTTTCTCCGGGCGATCGAGTCTTTCGTTCCCTGTCGAGTTCAAAATCCTGTGATTCATTTTTAATATTTAGTTATGTTATATAATATTAGCGATAATATCCTCTGTTTTTTATAGAAGGTCTATGTATATGTTTGCCTCTTATTCGCACGCTGCGGTGCCAAAATATGGACCCTGGATTGATGAAATGATTTAATTTACATTAATTTGGGGATTAATTGGTTTAAATTTTTTTTATTGGGGTTTACACGCCCTGGTTCTCGAGATTCGCTCACGGCCCTGTGTGTGGGATGTAACAAGGTCTTCGGTATATACGCCTCTGCTTTTGCAAATCCGGCGACAACGATCAACAGATGACGATCATTATGACTATTACCTCAAACATAATATATATATATATATATTAAAACAGACAGAACTCTTTACAGTGATCCGGCTAATTAATTAAGTAATTAACCAGAGCAAAAAGATAACTTTATGACTCGGGATTTCTATTCATTTAGAGGATTTTAAATGCCCTCTTGTGTTTAACTTTTTTATCTTCTCATCTTCTTTTATGGACTTAGTGGATAACAATATCGTAATTAATTTTTTTAGTTTATTACAAACAAAAGTTCTGGCTAAATGCCGCGATTATATTAATTAATTATCATTTTATGAAATAATTATAATAAATTGAGTAAAGAATTTTTTTATGAATTTTATTTTAAGTAGAAAAGGAAGTTATTAGTACGACATTATTAAATTTAATAGCTATTCATTATAATTTATTTTGGTTGGATAAAAATTTTTATTACTGCAATTTATTTATCCGGCTGGGCTGTTCTTTTTATTAAAATTATTATTATTATTATTATTATTATTATTATTCTGGTATTAGTAGTAAATCGGGGTGATAATTGACAGTTAAATGTATTTTAATTAAAATAGTGATATGTGTTTAAAAGTACGGGCCATTGTGTTTGGTGTTATTAAATGCATCGAGGGAAAATAATAAAAATACGAGTTGAATAGCTCTGATTTGTAACAACGGTGAGTCATTTGCAGGTCTGCATTGCTCTACACAATGTTCCGATACTATACGGCGAATGTGGCTCAAATGGCGAATAGAAGAGAATGGACATTTTTAGATTTTTATATTTTACGATAATTAAATCCCAATGGTAATTTCACAATCCCTTTCAATATACAATAATTTCTCGTCGCTTTAATCATTATCATGCATCACTATTCAAAACATATGGTATTTTTTTTATAAACAATCTTTTATCTTCTTAAATACCTTAGAGTTACAACTTATACCTTATAACTTACAACTAATTATTTTTACATTAAGAATTGATAAATTTTCTCACAATTATTTACCGAGTGATGAGTGATACTGATTATAAGAACGTTAATAAAATATTCAAATGTTGTAATAATGCAGCTTACAGCATTATCGGCGTATAATCCCTCTACAGTCTAAAGAACACACTATACTTGTTTATAAGCGATACCGTCGATATTAAAATTTAAATAGAAAACTACAGTAAAAATTGTAATAAAATTAGCTATTAAATTTTTTTCTCATTTTAAGCATGTCGGCTCTTTAGACTTTATCTCTTCGCTAATTAAAAATAATTATGTTACTAATAATGATAATTATAATGACTTGAATGATGATGATTATAATAATAATAATGATGAAAATTTTATTTATTTTGAAACAAATAAAAACCCAATAAAAAATTTAACTATCACCATAAAATTTAATTAATAAAAATATAACGAGACCAATAAAAAGACTGACTATCGCTATATCCCCATGATCCAGCTCGTTAGTTTGACTAGCGTTGCGTTACGTCTTAAACTTTTTTCTATCCTCGTAGCCCACGCCAAAAAGTATAAAATAAAAACTCAGGTAATACATAATTCATATAAATTTTTAGTAATCTCGAAAGATGCGATGCACGTTTTAGTTTCAGTCCTTTCTCTCTTTCCTCCTCCAGCTCCTCTTGTTCCTTCTTCTTCGTTTCCTCAACAGATTCCTCCCTTTCTCTATTATTGTTATTATTAATATATACTGTATTATATCTGATATAATATGAGTTGTATTAATATATAATAATTCCCTCTTAACTTTTAAAAATCAACTCCTACGATTAAACAAAATAAACCGCCTTTTACACACGCTTATTAACTATCTATCAGTTCATCGCAATCATCACTGTCATTCAACATTAATCTACTCTACTTGTTACCTTCAAATTACAATTTGGTCGTTCGAATACAAGAATAGTCGTACAAAAAAGCACTTATTATAATTTATATAAATATGACATCAGCCCGTCGGAAGTGATATCACATTTTTTTATTTATTACTTGATATTTATCATAACACTATCAATTATAATAATCTAATTATTGTTAAAATAATAATAATTATCATTCATTGTTTTAACAGGAAAAAATAAATTATTTAAATACATCCTTGTGATCATTACGCGAATACTATAATTTATAATAATAAATAATAATATTTTATAGAAAATTAGTAATTGATATTTTAAATATTTTTCAAGAGAAAAATATTTACGATTAATTTTTTTTTATAAACATTTAATACTAATTACGTCGCGTTACTTTCGTTGTAACTGATAACATTTTAAATATTAATTTTTAAAATAAATATTTATAAAATCTAAAAAGAAATGTTTGATCATTAAAATATTTAAAAACTTTTTTTACAGTACACCTAGTAACTCAAAACGAGTTATTTTTACCTAAATTTACTCTCATTACATTCGCGTCATCGTAATTAAATATTTCATTCTCACAACTTCGAATAGCTATAAATATCTTTTTATTTTCATAGATTTAATAAATTCATGAATGTAAAAATGATTCTTAATTGCGAATATGAAGTTCTAACTGTAATTTTAATTAATATTATTATCAAATTGAAAATCGAATATATCTCTAAAATAAAAGTTTACTTACTTCATTATTTTTTATGAGGTCAACACACCTCTAACCGCACGTAAAAAAAATTTCC